CACACGGGGACCCTCGCTTCTGGGGCCTCCCCACCACACGTGCGCCCCCTGGCGGGGGTGTCGCGCCCTGAGGCTGGTGTAACAGACTGCTGCAAACCGGGGCCTTTGGACAACGGATTTATTTCCTCTCCGCTCGCTCTGAGGCCGGAGTTCAGAAGCCAAGGTGGTCCAGGGCCACGCTCCCTCTGGGGGCTCCGTTTGGGGGAGGGTCCTTGCCGCCCCTCCCAGCTCCTGGGGGGCCCATGCACCCCCGGCTCATGGCCACATCACTCCAGTCTCTGCTGTCGTCACACAGCTTCTGCATGGGGCCCCTTCCCTTCTTACAAGGACCCCGGCCCGTGGAAGAAGGGCCACCCTCATCCAGGACCACCTCATCGCCAGAGCTTTCCCCTAAGAACGCCCACAAAGACCCTATTTAAAAAAAAATTATAATTTTTAATTAATTAATTAATTAATTACTTTTAGAGAGGGAAGGGAGGGAGAAAGAGAGAGAGAAACATCAATGTGCGGTTGCTGGGGGCCGTGGCCTGCAACCCAGGCATGTGCCCCGACCGGGAATCGAACCTGTGACACTTTGGTTCTCAGCCCGCGCTCAACCCACTGAGCTAGGCCAGCCAGGGCAAGACCCTATTTTTTAAAACACCACACACCTCCTCCTGCTGAAGGCCCCCTGGTTAGCTGTGCGACCCCGCAGGGGCCCCTCTCCTGGGGGGGGTCACCCCGTCAGCCAGGTGACAAGCCCGGTCTGAAGAGGAGAGGGCGCCCCCGACAGGCCCTCGGGCTGAAACTGGAGCACAGCTCGGTCCCTGCCGCCCAGTGACAGTGTCCCCTCAAACCCACGCCGTGACGCCCATGGTGGCGAGAGGGGGTGGGGCCTGAGGAGGGGCTCAGGGTTAGATGAGGTCATGAGGGTGCACCCCTTGACGGGATTCCTGTCCTTACAGGTCACCGGCGCTCTCTCTGCCCCCTCCCCGCCCCCATGCACGTGCCTTGTGAGGACGCAGCCAGAGAGCGTCCCAGACCTGGAGCGGGGCCCTCCCCAGCACCCGCCGGCCCAGGCTGCTGGTGCCCCGACCTCGGTGGCCAGCCCCCAGGCCGTGGGCCTGCTGTCTGTCGGGGAGGCCCCGGGCCGTGGGGCTGTGAGACGCGGCCGAACACCGTCGCCTCCCCCTGGCGAGCCGAGGACACCACGGTCACACGTCAACGGCCCCTCCGGGGAGCAGGCCCACCTGTCGATGTGAGCGCAAAACTGCCAGTCATTTCTGTGACCCCGGAGGGCGCTGCCCACCCCCTCACTGAGCTCAGGAGGACTTTGCTTTGGTGTCATGCACTCGAGTCCCCCCGGGAGGCGGGCTCCGGGGCAGCGAGGGGCCTGCGGCACACAGGCCCCAGCCCCCTGGGGGGGTCGCCCGCCCCACCATCCCTGGGTCTGGGGGCGGGAGGGGGGCCGGACGTGGGCGGTGCCAGGACAGGGACGGGGAGGACAAGCCCAGACAGGCCCTGAGGGGTCAGGCGTGGGCCGTGGGCTGGGCGGGAAGGAGGGGGCAGCCCCCCGCCCCCCACCATCCACTCCAGGGCTGGCAGCGCTCTCCAGCCCGGCTCAGCGGCGCCGTTCTCAACCATCGCAGGTGAGTGGCCCCGAGTACAGGCTGTTCCTGGAAATGCCCCCCCCCCCGTGCAGGGCCTCCATCCCATGGGAAGAGCCTGGCTCCGTCCCCAGCCATCTGGGACCGGGGCAGCCGGATCCACTTCTGCTCAGAGGTGGGGGCGGGCAGCCTCTGGCCGAGCCCCCGGCCTCTCCGAGCCCAGGCTGGGGGGCGGGGCCGGAGGTCAGGAGCAGGCCCTGCCCGAGCTGCTGCCTCCGACAGCGCTCCCGCCGGGCCGGGCGGGGGTCTGTCCTCTCGGCCCCACGCCCCGGGCACAGTGGGCCTGCCTGTCCTCCCGCTTCCCGGCTCGCTGTGTGGAACAACATTGATGTTGCTCAACTCCAGGGGAACTCGCCAGCCCGAGGGGCTCGGGGACAGAGGTGGAGGGGGCTGGGCGCTGCTGGGCTGCTGGCCGCCCTGTGCTCCCTGCAGCGGGGCGCCCCCCAGTGCCGGCAGCCTGGGCCCCCGCTGCTGCTCCTGGCCGGCCCACCCCCTTGGCCTGGGAGGGAGCCAGAAAGGGGTATGGATGCAGACCCTGGTGTGGCCTCTGCCTGTGGTTCTGGGACCTTCCAGACAGCTGGGCTGCGTGCAGGCCAGGAGGGCAGCGGGTCCCAGGATGCTGGCCGGGGGGCGCCAGCGGGCAGGCCCCGCCCCCCCACCTGGGGCTCGCCCACCCCAGCCTTCTGGTCATTGTTTCCTGGTGGGGGACAAGCCCGTGGGGTGGCTGCCAGGTCCTGCACCTCACAGCACAGAGCTCACCCCCCGTGCCCCATGGCCCCTTCCTGAGCTGGAGGGGGTGGGGCTGAAGCCTCTGTCCCTGTCACAGACTAGGGGCCAGTGGTGACCAAAGCCCTTCCCCTCCCCTCTGTCACTGCTGCACCAGAGTCGCCCTTTTGGGAGGTGGCGGTTGTTATCCAACCCCCAGGAGGTTTTGCAGCCTGGCTGGGGGCTGCCGCCCCTGAGCCGTGGAGGAGGCCCTCGGACCCCCAAGTGGGTCCCCGGGGCCACATGCTCGGGTTGCCAGGTGCACAGGAAGGTCAGTGCTGACCAGAGGGGCCAGGGCCTCCCTGAGCCGCTCCTGGGCGGCAGGGCAGCGAGCTGTCCGCACAGGACACTCCGGCCCCGGCCCTCTGCTGCCCTGGGAGGCTCTGCCCGCCCCCCACCTGGCTCCCAGGAGAGGCCGGGCGGCCTCCTCCGCCCACGTCGCCCACGTGGGCCTGGTCCTCCCCCCAAGGCCACGGGCATGAAGCTGTGGCGGCTGCAGGCTGTGGTGACTCACGGCTGTGGCTTTATTTCCCTGGAGAACATTTGGAAACCAGTGATGGGGGTGGGGTCCAGCCATGCAGGATAGAGGGGGGAGGGGGGAGACCTGGAGGCTCTGGGGGTGCACAGTGCAGGCACCCAGGAGGCGGCCTCCGACAGCTGCCCCTCCCGCCGCCTCCCCCTGCCCCCCGGGGCTAGGGTAGCAGCTCGGAGCCCGGCTGCAGCCCCCACGTGTGTCCTATGTATGGGGGTCAGGGCGCCCCCCAGGAGCCCCGTCCTGGTCTCCCTCACTGCCCACCCCGTGAGACCTGGGGGAGCAGCCTGTGAGCACAGGGGTTGCAGCAGGGCTGGGCCGACCACCCTGGGCGGAGAAAGTTTAAGGAAAGAGACACGTCCCTGTGCAGCGAGTGAAGAGGCGGCCCCTCTGAGGTTCCCCAGCCCCTGCCGGGCCCCGCGGCCCCCAGTGGAGCTCTGAAACCCCTTCCAGAACCCACAGTCCCCACCAGGCCCCAGAACCCTGCCGAGCCTGGGCCGGGGGAGGGGGAGCGGACACTAGTGGGTACGGGGTTTCCTCCTGGGGTGATGGAACACTCTGGAACCAGACAGTGCACAACGTTGTGAATGCGCTAAAAGTCCCCTGCGGTACATTTCGTGTTTTATGTCAATAAAAGCCCCAGGCCACAGGGTGTGGGGCATCTCGGAGGGTTCGGCGCCAGCCCCCCTTCCCCCGGGGTCCGGGTGGTCCCGCCCAGGCAGACACGGGACGCCCACTCCTGAGAACCAGGGCTGTGTCACTCTGATGGCCTCAACCCGGTCACCGGTCTTTGTCAAGGCACCCCGAGCCCACGGGGCGCGGGGGCAGAGGCGGCTGCCCTTCCCGGAGCCACACCGGAAGAGTCTCCGGGCCGCTGTTTCCAGGAATTGAGCCGGTCCTAGCGTCCTGGCGGGACAGGCACCGACCGAGGGGCTGGCGCTGCCGTGGGAAGATGCTGACCGCAGCGCTGGGCTCAGGGAAGCCCCAGCCCTGCCCGGCGTCCCAGGAGGGCAGGGGAGCCCGCAGCCACGTCCACCTGTCCCCACACGGGGAGCCCAGCCAACTCTCCCCTGGGTCACGTGTTCCCGGGTGGGTCTATTTATGGCCGCAGCGCGCGCCCGACACGACGAAACAACCTCGCGGGACGGAGCCCCTTGACCCCGAGCGGTGGGGACGCTGGCCTCCAGCCCCGCCCCCGCCGAACGGGACTGCGCGTCCTGTGAGGTCCGCCAGGCTGCCTCGCGCGCACCGGCCTCACGGGCTGACCTTCCCCACGGACTCGCTCTCCGGGGCACACTGTCACGGGGCTCCCGAGAGTCCTGACAGTCTGCACCCCTCCGCGCCCTGCGCCCTGCGCTCTCGCGGGACCGCCCCGTTGTTAGGGAGACTCAGGGCTCGCCGGCCCAGCCCCCCACGGCGCGCTGCCGCCGGGAAAGCGCTCCCCTCCGAAGCCGCCGCCGGCTCCAGCCCGGGAGTCCTTGGCGCTGCGTCCCTGGCAGGCGTCAACGCGCCTCCCCCGAGGCTGACAGCGGGAAGGTGCTTACCCGAGACAGCTATTTGGGGAAAAGGCAGAGGGAAGCGACGTTTCTCCCAGCCTCCCGCCAGCCCCCTCCGCCCGGGGAATTATTCCCGAGGGCCGGTTCTGGGGTCCTTCACAGAAAGGCTCAAGTGCATTTGGCTTGCTTCTGCCCAGGAGAATTTGAGGCGAGGGAGCGTTGTCACCCTCAATTAAGTGACCACAATAGGAGCTTGAAGGACACGGTCGCTTCATTAATAATAAATGACCACCAGCCCTCGGCCAGACTGAGAGAGTCTCGGCCGCTAGGGTGGCCCCAGCCCTGGCTTGTCCCCCAAAGAACAGGGCTGCGAGCGGGCCCGAGGGGCTGGGAGCAGACCCGGGGAGACGCTTCGGCGCGGAGCACCCCGTTCCATCCCCCAGGCCGCCTCCCCCGCCCCTGAAACTTCTCCGGTCCCAGCGGCCGGAAAGTTGAAGGGCCCCGCCGCTTCAGCACCGCGGACAGCGCCGCGCGCACCGCGCAGACCCCGGCCCGCCCTACCTGTCGTCGTTCTGGAAGTACTGGTCGCCTAGCAGCAAGTCCCGGAAGCGGTACCGCGGCGGCAAGGGCAGCACCTCCGAGTCCAGGTCGCTCATCCTGAGGCTAGCGGTGTCCAGGAGCACGCCGTCCCCGCGGCTGCCGTCCCCAGCGCCGGGCTGCCTGCGGGCACACGCCAGCGCTCCCTCAGCTCCCGGCGCGCCTCCGGCGGGCCTGCTGCGCCCCACTGCCCCGCGCGCCCCTGCTAGACCCTGCCCCGCCGCGCGGCGCGCCCGCCCCGCAGCCTCCTTGCCTGCCCTCCTGGCCCCAGACCCACGCCCCCCCCCGCCCCCGCACAGAACCCCCTTCCTGCACGCAGACCCGGCCCCCTGCCCCGGCTGACCCGCCCCTGCCAGCGCCTCGGCCACCGCGCCCGCCACACCTGCTGGGCTCACTCCGAGGCACCTCCAGGGCACGGGTGAGTTTCGTCACCGCCGACTCAGGGGCGGGCAGGCGCCCACACCACCCCTGAGCCCCCACCAGGCCATGCAAGCCCTCCTAGAGCTGCCCCCCACCTGGCAAGGCTACCCGCTCTGCCTCCCCCAGAGTCAGGGCACCCGCCTCCACCCCACAGGCCCCCTCTCGGACCCTCCTCCGCCGCCTGCCTCTGGGAGTGGCCGGGAAGTGGGAGGCACTCCTCTGTGGCCTCCCGGGGGCCGGGCAGCCTAAGTCAGACCAGAACCTGAGAGTGGGCGTCCGTGGGGGAGGGTGGAGCCCTCTGGGCCAATGTCGCCAGCCCCCAGAGCTGAGACTCGGCCGTGGTGGGGCTGAGGGCTGGGGCCAGACCAGGTCCCAGGAGGGTCCTTCTGATCTGCAGCCTCTTGGGGTCTGAGCCTCTTGTCTTCCAGGGCTGTTTTGCTGTCCTTGGCCCGTCCCCACGCCAAAGTGAGTTTTGGCTACAGTTACCCATGTGCGGCAGGGGGGACGGGGGCCAGCAGGGCCACCAAGCTCCCAGCTCCCGGCCTCCCGGTGCAGCAGTGCCCAAGCCCCCTGGACTTCCGCACCAGGACCTCTGCCCACTGCCCCCATCTAGAGGGTCGCTGCTCGCCCCTCACAGCACGGCAGCCACTGCACACCCATACCCTGGAGCCCAGCTGCGGACTCGGGCAGACCCCAGGGCTCCTGGTCCTTCGGCATCAGCTGACAGTCCGGGCGAGCCCAGCTCAGGCCACCCCTCAGTGCCGCCCCCCACAGCCCTAGCTGGTGCCACGAGGAGGCAGACCCCCATGGCGGGGAGCATGCCAGCTAAGACTCTTCAGTGTGGGGGGCCCTGGAGGGCCTTTCGCAGGCCCTCCAGGGGGGCAGAACCAGCGGGGGGAGAGGGGGGTTCTCCACCCTGTCACCCTGTCAGGCCTGCCCCCCTAAGGTGGGGGACAGCAGGGGACCAAGGAGCCATCTCAGCCTCCTGGCAGGCTGCTGACCACACGCTGAGTCTGGGCTGGAACGGTGCGGGCGGGCTGTGCCCAGAGGCCGGAGTGAGGGCCACTCACCTGGAGCAGGTGGGCCTCACTCTCTCTCGCAGGTGGGCACCTCACAACCCTCCTCTCTCTGCTCAGGCCGGGAGGGGCAGGCACGTTCCCTGAGCCCCCCCACCATCCCTGGGCCCATCCCTGGCCCCCCCCATGTGATGGCACCCCCATCCCACAGCCCCCGGGAGAGGCTCAACAACTGCCCCTGCCCACAGCTGTTTCCCAGGTCACAGGTCCAGCCCCAAGGAGCTGGCAGCGTTTGAAAAATAACATTTTCCTAATTGCATCAGCGTGGCTGGTGTTTTTCCTCAGTCACAAGCTGGCTGGGCCGCGGGGAGCCTCACAGCCGGGGGCGGGGGCTGTGTTTTCCTGGCTTGGCCCCTTTGCTGCTGAAAACCCCTTTCCAAGGCCCCTGGCCCGGGCCCTGGGGAAGGCCATCGCCCCCACCCCACCTGGAGCCTCTGCGGGCTTTCTCCTGGCCTCCAGGCCCCGACCTGGAAGGGCTGGCGGCACCTCAGAGGGCGGGGCCTCCGTGGGCTTGGGGCGGGGGCACGGGGGAGGGAGGGGTCTGGGAGCTGGAGGCCTGCAGCCCCCCTGGGATGCGGCCTGGGGCGGTAACCAGGGCACTGACCCCTCCGCCCTCGCCCTCCCAGTGTGGCTGCGACACTGAACGCCGCAACCAGTGCAGGGGGGGGAGCAGACGCCCCGAGTGCATGGGCACATCTGTGGACGCAGGACGACCCTGTCCATGGACCCCATGGATGTGGAACGCCCAGCACGACCCTGCTCTGAAGGGTCACCAGCCCGGGGAGGCCTCGCCGGGCGCCCAGCAGGCAGACGAGGAAGGCACAGACCGTCCCCACCGCTCGGTGACCTTGGTTCAGGGGGTGGTGGGGGTGGTTCAAGACCATGTCTCACCCACAGGGCCACACGAGGAGACCGAGGGTGCGTCCCTTGTTACTGGACCTGAGAAAGCCAAGGGACCGCCTGCACCTCCCTGCCGAGTGTCACCTGTCCCTGAGCAGACCTCGGGGAAGCGGGCCTGGTCCTCAGCCTGGCACGTGACATCCTGAGAAAGGGGCCCCCTCGCCCTCCAGGCTCGCTCTGGGAGCCCAGAGCGGGTGCCGTTCAGACCGATCATCGGGGCCGGGGTGTGACAGGGGCTCGGCGCCTCTCCTGAGACGCACTGTTCAGTGGTCCACACTCAGGCCAGACCTTCCAAGGAGCCTGGGAAGCCACAGCCGACAGGGAGACTGGGGGTGCGTGTGTGCACCATGCGGTGTGCCTGTGCACACGTGTATGTGTGTGTGCACAGCTTATCCCCCGTCCCTGCCCAGGGTCCAGGTGAGACCCGCAGACACGGCCGTGTCATGGGGTTGGGGCAGCCGGGCTCTGGGCTTGGTGCCCAGGAGAGCGGGGAGCTACCAGGTGTCCCTCTGGCCACGACAGAGCATGGCGTTTCCTTTCCACGGTAATTAAACAGCCGCAGTGAGGCCGGGGGGCGTCTCTGGGGAATGGGTTTGGCACCCACCGCCACCTCGGAGACGCACAGGACCCAGGGGAGAGCTTGGAGGCCTCACCAAGCCGGGTTCAAACTGGAGTCGTCAAAACTGACACTTCTAGCACCTTCCTCCGCACACCGGGCAGGCCCAGGGGGCAGGGAGGAAGGGCTGGCCGTGGTGTGGACAGCAGGGATGGGAGCTTGTCACCTCTCTGGACCCTCCTTGAGCCCAAGGACCTGACCCCACCCCTGCCCGAGGGAGCCCGCCTGAGAAGGACTCGGTGTGCCTGGGTCCCTCGGTGGCAGGGGGCAGGTTCGTGTGGACCCAGCCCTCAACCCCGGGGTGCCCGGGAGCACCCTGTCCTCTGGCTGCACCCTGTCCTCTGGCTGCAGCTGCCTGGCCAGACACAGGGTGCTCACTTGCTCGCTCAGAGGTGCCTGGTGACCAAACCCAGCCCGGAGCCGAGCTGCTGGGGGTGCCGACCCCGAGCCGGGGCCGTGTTCTGGGGAGCCCCTCGAGAGCCTGCCGGGACAGAGCCTGAGCTGGGGACCCGGCGTTCCCTCTGCCACAGCGGGGCCTGGGGGCTGCCCTGGAGAAGGGAAGCCGTCCCGCACGCAGGGGTCCTGTCCCGTAACCCGAGGACCGCCATCTCCGCCTCAGACAGGCGCGTCATCCCCGAGGTCGGGCGCTGCTGTGGAGGGGGAGGGCTTGGAGCAGGGCACAGCGCCATCTGCCTGGGGTCCAGGCCATGGCCACAGCGCCCAGGCGGCCCCGAGAGGGCTCCCCACCAGGCGGCTGTCCCCTCCAGGGCCCAGGCTGGACCTGCCTGGAGCCGCTGCGGCCAGAGTGCCCACCGGGCGGTCGGGGGAATGGGGCCCCACCTGGCTCGGCAGTCAGTTCATTCGCCCTCCCCGGGCCATGCTGCCCCCACAACACACAGGTTTGGGGGGTCGGGGGCCCAAGGCCGTGCAGGGAAGAGCCAAACCCCCTCAGGCCTCCAGGTCCCCGCAGGTCCCCAGCCGCCTGCCCTGAGAGCCGGATCCATGTGGCCACACCCACTTCCCCGGTGCAGTCAGTGCAGATGCCGCCCAGAGCCGGGCCTGGCTTCCTGCCCAGTGCGAGCGTGACTACGTGCCGAATTGGAGCCCTGTCCCCTGTGAGCATGGCAGACAGCTGGGGCCTGTGGGTGGGGGGGGGCCCGACAGGAGGGTCAAGCGCCTGCCGGCATGGACAGCCACCCCAGGGCTCGCCCACAGCCACAGGCGCCAGGCAGGTCCCAGCTGCGGCTCCTTCCCCACCGGTTCCTGGAGCCTCCGCAGGCCCGGAGGCGATGCCACAGCCGCCCGTCCGGGACGGAGGCAGCCGGCTGAGAGCCCAGCGCCAGCAAGGTCCCACTGTCATCATGCATGACAGTATCGATGGCCAGCAAGGGCCGGTGCAGGGCAAGCCTGCGGGAGGCTGCCGCCGTGGGTGGGCGGGGGTCACCACAGCCTGCTGCCCAGGGCCTCACTGCCCCACACGGGGCGGGGTGGCTGCAAGGAACCCCAGCAGGAGGTCCGGACCACGGAGCAGCCCCCTCGGGGAAGGCCTGTCCAGGTCCCCGCTCCCACCTGTGTCCTCCAGCCTCTAGCACGAGCCCTGCCTCCGGGGGCGGGGCCAGGCCCGGCCCGCTCTCAGTCTCCGTAGGAGGAAGAGGTTGGGGGTGAACACGGGTGCCCCGTGCACAGTCTCAGCCCGGAGGGTCCCCAGGGCACCTGTACCCACGCCCGTGTCAGCAGGTGCTGCTGCCGGGCCGCACCCGCCTCGGGGCTCCGCCAGAGGCCACACGCCTGCGCCCCACTGCTCCCTGCCCCAGCGCCAGGCAGGGGCGGCCCCCCAGCTCCGGGTCTCCCTCGGAGAAAGGACGTGAGTGCAGCCGTGCACACCCAGCCACGCGTGTTTGGGGGCCAAGGCCCACGGACACAGGGGCGTGCACGCTCCCTGCCCCTCAGCACTCCCCACCCACGAGGGTCCGCACGTGCCCAGTGGACCTGCCTAGCATGGAGGCGCCCTGGCCCCCCTGGAAGCCGGCACAGCGGGGGGCTGTGTCCCCGAGGGCGGCGCACCTGAGGCACTGGCTGCAGATTCCCCGATCCTGGGGTCCGGGGCGGGGGAGGCGGGAGGAGAAACCTCAGGGGACGTGCTCCTCCCCGGAGAGGGGGCCTCTGTCATGCCAGGACCCTGACGCACCGACAGGCTGAGACACCCACGTGGCCGGTGGACAGGCCAGCGCACTCAGAGGTGGCGGCAGACCTGGGCAGGAGGACACAGTGGACACCCACAGACACCCCCCTCCCCGGACAGAAGCAGAGCTCTGGGCTGGCACCCCCTCCCCCTGGCCCCTTCTCACTCACCTGCCCCCCCCGGAGCTGCTGCCGGGGGCACCTCTGGACAGAGGCAGAGCCCTGCGCTCCCTCCAGTCCCCCAGATCAGGAAGCTCACGGCTGGCCTGGCCGTGAACCTTTCCCTTGGGGCCTGGCCACTTCCTGTTGCCCTGCAGGCGCTACTTCCTAATATGGGCTGGAGGGCCAGCCGGGACCTCCCAGGCATGTGCCCTGGCAGGACACCAGTTTGTGTCTGTGCCCTCTGCCCTCGGGGTCCGGAGGGTCCCACCCTGGCCCTGCAGGGCAGGGGTGCTGGGAGCTGAGTTTGGGGAAAGGCCAGGCCAGGAGTTTCTGATGGGAAGGCACCAGGCAGGAGGCAGCGCGGTGGGTCCTGGGACTCGGGGGTCTTCCCAGGGGGCTCCCCACAATAGCTGTCAGCACCAGGCAGAGGCCTCTGGACCTGGGGAGGGGGCACGGCAACAAAGGGTGTGCCCACTGACCGGTGGGGTGGCTGGGGCCTGGAGCCCCATGTATAGCGGGAAGACGTGAGGTCCAGACTGGGGCCACTGCCTGGCCTCACAGCCCCAGGGCAGGGCCAAAGCGGACACTTGGGGTGAGGTGGCAGATCCCCAGCTGGAACCGCGGCACTATGGCTGACACCACCCACCACCTTCAAGGACAGAGGCCTGCCCGAGACCAGACCACTGGCTGCCAAGGCTGACCCGGCTGTGAAGCCCGGAGCAGGAGGCCACCCCGAAGAACTCCCCGACCTGGACCCCGACTTGGCCAAGAAGGGTCTTCCTTCTCCGGCTGAAACCACATTCCCTGAGCCACCTGGCCTTTCCTGGGGAGGTTGTGGGGGGGATCCTCGCCCAGCCTGCCCTTCCAGGGGCAGGGGTCCTTGCCCAGCCTGCCTGCCATCCCCTTGGCCGGGCGGTGGGTGTGTGCAGGGACAGGCCAGCTCTGACCGGGGGGCGGGGACTGTCCCCGAAGGACATGGAGGTGTTTGGGGGGACTGAGCCCCCCCAGGCCCAGACCCTGAGGACACAGAGCTCAAGTCTCACGTGGACCAGGCGCTCAAGCCGGGCAGGTGAACTTGGAGATGGGTCACCAGGAAGGGCGCCCCCTGGCGGAGGAGGGAGCTGGGCAGAAGGGCAGCCAGACTACAAAGACGACGGGATTCGTGAGAGAGCGCTCCCGGGGCCAGGCTGTGCTGGCTGGCCCCTCAGAGGGGCCCGGGGGAGGTCCAGGCCACACCCGCCTCGCAAGGCTCCTCGGCTCTGCCTCCAAGGACACCACGGGGACGGCCAGTTCTCGGGCACACGCTTCCCCCGCGCCCCCTCCTCGCCCGCCTGCTGTATCCCCAGTGCCTCCCCGGGGGCAGGCCAGTGCCGTCCTGCGGAGGGGCCACCCTGACCCTTGACACGTGGCTGGAGACTCCCCTGCCTAGCAGGTCCCCCACCAGAAACGACCCTCAGAGACCGTCCGTCCCACCCTCACTTCTCATGCGAGAGGCTGAGTCCTGCCGTAGAGCAGTTGGTGGCAGCACCGGGGCTCGGGCCCAGGCTGCCCGCCTTTTGGGTCCCCTCGTCCACCCCTCCGGCCTCAGGACAGTCTGACCGTGCAGGACCCAGAGGACAGGGCTCCGCCCGGCTGGGGACGGTCGCACAGGCAGGCGCAGGCTGCGGGTCACCTGGAGCCTGGGTCCTGGCATGAGGTGAGGGGCAGGCTCGTGAGTCCGGCCTCTGGGGCTGGTGGGACAGGGAGAGAGGCAGCCCCCACTGGGACTGTCACCCCTTTTCCCGGACCCTCCAGAGTGCTGTGCTCTCTGGGCCTGTTGCCTGGATGGGCGGGATCCCTGTGACACCCCAGGACCCAGCACAGAGAAGGAGGGTGGAGTGCGGCCGTCTCCCAGGCCACGGGAAGCCCTTGCCGGCGGCCCCGCTCCTCACAAGGGCACACGGAGCCCCAGCGAAGGGAAGTCAGCGGCTGGAGACCAGGGCTCCCGCCCTTCCCTCCCCGAGAGCACGCCCACACCCCAATCGGGGCTCTTCCTGGGAAGAGAGACCCTTGAAAACCCACTTCTATGCGGGGTCCTCTTGCCATGTCCCCCTCGGGCACAGCCCTGCCATCCCCACGCGGCAGCGCCCCAGATGGCCCTCCCAGGCTGTGCCGAAGGGGCGGGGAGGCCCGCGGGCGCAGCACCGCTCCGGCGCGCGGGGCCACACCTGCCCGCACGCCGGAGCGGCTCAGCCCCGCATGCAAACATGGCCGCGCTCCGGCCACCTTCGCGTTAAGGACGCAGACAGACGGACGCCGCCAGGGCACCTGCTGGTCACTGATGTAAGCGCCCGCCGCCTGGCCCGGGCCGGTCCTGGGGGGCGCCCGTTCCCCAGGGTGCTCAGGGAGGGCGCTCGCGGGTCCTGGCCCTGGAAGTGGGGATCTTGGGGGTGGGGAGTCCTGGGGGTGGGAGGGCTCTGGGGGTGGCGCTAACCCGGACCGGGGACCCTCCGCGCGGGGAAGGGCGCGGCCGACTGTACCTGGGGGCGCATCGGCCGTCATCGAACACGAAGGTCCGGTTGGTGTGGCCCCCGCCGCGCGCCCCCGCCCGCGCCCCCCTGTGGACACCCCCTGGGCTGCGCGCGCTGTCCGGGAGCGGCATGCGGGCCGGCGGTGGCTCGGACCCGGAACCGAGGGAGAAGTGAGTCGGGAGCGACAGGCGACTTCTTCGCTCGCTTGGCCCCGAAAGAGAACACTTTTCTCTCTCTCGGATTTGGGGGTGGGGGAGAGCGAGTTCCGGGGTCGGGGTTGCGGCGCCGGGCCGGGCGCGCCCCCTGCCGGTCGCTCCGGGAATCTCGCCGGCGTCGGGCCGGGACGCGGCAGAGTCCGCCCCGTAGGCATCCGCCACCCCATCCCGAACTGGCGATTGTGTCCCATAGAGCTTAGCGAAACAGTCATCAGACCAGCCTCCCCACTCCCCTCCACGTTCTCACTACTTGGTCCCCACTTCCACCTGCCCTTCAAGGTTCTGGAAACCTTCATCTCCCCCTCCCCTTAAGTAAGACCAATTCCTTTCCCCCAAGACTTCCCACCTGCCCACCTCAGGACCCCTGGACACCAGGCCCCCGTGCCAGCCGGGGGCCGCCCAGGGCTCCGGTGGACTCCAGCTTGGCATGCCGCCCAGCTGTGCCCTGGAATTGCCATTGCACCCCGAGGATGCCCCCTTTCTGCTCCCTCCCTCTGCGGGCTGGGAACTCCTTGAGGGCAGGGCTCATGCTTCCAAATAGCCCGCGCCCAGCTTGAGGCTGTCACCAGCCGCACCCATGGGCGGGGAGGGGAGACCACACCCAAGTGGGAGCTGGGCTGACCCCCGGGAAGTGGGGCAAGAGGACCACCCTGGCCGGGCCCCCTGCCCGGGGCAGCACTGGGGGATAGGAGTGCGGGCACCCTGGCGCCATTCTCCCGCAGCTTCTGCATGGGAAGCTCTTGACTCCCCGCGGGTTGCTCTGGCCAGGGGTAGAGGGCTGTGCGCAGCGGCCGCGCGGGGGCAGCGGGCCAGGTGCTGGCTGACTGGGAAGCACGTGGGGGCGGGCAGTGCGCACGTGAGTGGGTGGGGCTGGCTGGACGCGCAGGCGTGGAGCGTGCGCGCAGCCAGGTCGCAGGCTGAGTTGCTGCCTCCGCAGCTGCGTGCGTATGGCGTCGCAAGGTCCCCAGTCCAATGCTGGGGTTCCCCAAGTCCCCGTCTCTGGGGGGTGCAGGTGAGGAATTGGGGGTTGGGGGTGCCAGAGAAGGTGAGGTGAAAGGCCGCTGCGCAGGAGTGCTCGCGGTTTCCCACCCCGTCCCTCCCCCTCAACGTCCTTCCGCCCAATTCAAATGGATCGAGTCCCGGGCACCCACCCAGCATGGCTCACCCGGGGCAGAGCTGCCCCGTGACCCCAGACCGGGTGGGAAAGGGGGGAAGGGCAGAGGAGGGAGGAGGGCCCCAGACCGTGTTCCTGGGCCACCCAGGCCCTGCTCTGCACCTGTCCCCGGCTGCCCTCCGAGGGTACCCTTGACCGCATCTGGGCTCCGGTGGTTCTGGGGGTTCACGGAGCCAAGTGCTGTCGACTCTTCTCAGCAGCAGCAGCTCGTCCCGGACTGGCGCCCAGTTCCACCGCAAGGACCCCGCTGGGGGCTCGGCCCCAGTCAAGAACCCGGTGGCGGCGGATGGTCCCGCCTCCTGCCTCCCTCGGAACGTGCTCAGCGAGAGGGAGCGCAGGTGGGCGCCGGTGGGCGCCGGGTGGGCCGGTTTCTGAAAGAGCAGGGTGGGAGTGGGTGGTAGAGGAGGTCATATTTGTGGGTGCAACCCACTTTCAGGCAACTTGGACGGGCGTGTGGCATCTGTTCACTAAGGGGACAGTTGGCCTGTCCCCAAGGTAGATGGGAAAACCCATGGGGGTCAGGAGCCACTGCTGCAGCCCCCTCTTTGACCGGAAGCCCTGGGCATCTTGAGGGTGAGCTTTTGGGTGCTCTAGACCCCAGACTGCGCCAGCACCCACGCCCTCCCCACACCCCAGGGCAGTGATGGTCCAGGCCGGGCTGGCTGTGCCGGGACCTGGGTCTCTGCAGGGCTCAGGCTGCTCGGAGAGCTGGCCGTGGCCTTGGCCTGTGGCTTCTTCCACCAGAGCAGCCCCCGGAGCTGCCCCAAGGGGGTTCTGGTGGCTGCAGCCCCTTCTCCCGGCCCCCGCCGGGCAGGCTCACGGGCGTCTGTCGCTTGTCCGGAAGCAGGAAGCGGATCTCGGTGAGCTGCGAGCGCCTGCGGGCCCTGCTGCCGCAGTTCGAGGGCCGGCGGGAGGACATGGCCTCGGTCCTGGAGATGTCGGTGCTGTTCCTGCGGTTCGCCAGCCCCGCGGCGCCCGGTGGGGAGCAGCAGGCTGTGAAGGCTGTGAGTGCGCGCCGGCTGCCTCCGCTCTGGCACCTCCGTGTGGGCGCAGGCTCTGCAGCCGACGTGGCCCCCGCCCCCTGGCCCTCAAGTCCCCACCCACGGTGCCAGCGTGGGGTCAGAGTCCCGTTGCCATGAGGCCCAGGGCGGCTTGGCCTTCACCCTCCCGGCCCCCAGTCCCAAGGACCCAGCTCTCCTCTGCCCAGGGAGGACCCCGGGGCCCCGGGCAGGGCAGCCGACGACACACCACCACCCACTTTTCCCGTGGCCTCCCTGGGGACCGGGCCCGATTGCTGTGTGTGTTCCGATTCCAGGTCGTCCCTCCCTCCGAGGACGTGTGGTGGCACAGGTGGCAGGAGGACGTTCTGCAGCTGGCCCTGGCGCATCAGAGCCCCGCAAGCGCCCCGGGCCCCGGGAAGGGAGCACCTGTGACCATGTCCGTGTCCCCTGCGGGTGGGGTGCGCTGGGGCTGAGGGTGCAAGCCCCTCAAGGGCCCCTTTTGTCTGTGCCCCATCCAGGCAGCAGGACCCCCCGAGCTGTGTGACCACAGGTGGGGACCGGGGCAAGGCCCCCACGGCGGGGGCCGAGGTGCGGAGCAGGCCAGCAGCACCCCCTGGTAAGCGTGGCTGGGTACCAGCGTGGTCCCCAGGCCCCCCAGGAAGTGCGGGGCCCTGGAGGGACCTGCTCCGCCCTCCTCACCCCTGTGGCCGCTGCTGTGTCCAGCTCCCTGAGAGCGGCCCCCACGCTGCGGCGGCTCTCTCTACCTGTTCCTTGGTGGCACTGAGGCCGAGGTGTGGGTCATGGACACAAGGCTGCCCCCCACCATGTGGGGGTCTTTGCTCCCTGATACCGCCCCAGCTAAGCCCACAGGGCGCCTCTCATGCTGGACCCCTGCCCAGCTGTCTGTCACTCTCTGGACCGTGGCTGTTGGTGACGGCATTCCAGCCGCCCGCACGTGTTTGCCCGTGCCATTGTCCCCGGGAGCCACAGGAGGCGAGACCGCCTTCCCACTCCCCGGTGTGCCCACCAAGGAGGGACGGGTCTCGCCTGGATGGGGCTGTCGGCAGACTGGGGCACCAGGGACCTCGAGGACCCACTCCCAGGGTGTGAGGGCGCTGAGGTCACACAGCAGGGAGCCCCAGGTCAGGGGTCCCAGGCATGTGGAGAGGGGGGCACAGCAGCATGAGGACCCCCAGGTCTGAGCCCCCAGGTTGACCAGCGGTCAAGGGGGCGTCGCCTCCAGGAAGCCTCCCTGGCCCCAGAGGCCAGATGCCTCACTGCTGGGCGTCCGCCTTCTCCCGGCCACTGCCTCTGCTTGTGTGCTCCGCGCCTTCTCCCGGCCACTGCCTCTGCTTGTGTGCTCCGCGCCTTCTGCCCCACGTCCCCGTCAGGGCTCAGCGCGGAGGGGCTGGGGTCTGCAGGGGAGGGCCGCTGCCCGGGCTGGAAGGCTGACCCACACCTCACTTCTCTCGCAGGGCCGTGTGGCCTGGCGCCACGGACCCCAGGCCCGAATCCCTCCAAGGTCCTGAGGGCGCCCCCGGCCTGGCCTCCCTGCTCTCGGCAGCCAGCCGCCCCGCTGATGAGCGGAGAGGCTCAGAGCTGCCTGGGCCAGGCCGGGCCCCTGGCCGAGGGCACCGACCAGGCTGTGCCGCCAGGCACCAGGTGGGTCCCCGGCCGGCGTGGGCACCGTCCGGCCCTGCCCGCCCCGGAAGGTTCTGCCCATCACTCCCTCACCACGCGTGTGCGCCGCCCAGGCCCAGACCAGCCAGACTCGGTTTTTCCTAATGAGTGTTTTTGAAAACACTTGTGTTTTTCTAAAGGTTCTGTGTTGACTGATAGTAAGGGGGCTGCGGCTTGGTGCACCAGCCGGGCTGGGGAGGGCGCTGGGGGGCGGGGCAGGAGCCCACAGCCCTGTGCGCTCTGGGCCTCGGGCCATCAAGCTGTCTGAACCTGAAGCCGCCTCTCAGGGCCTCACTTTTCTCTTGAGGACCCAGGCCAAGGTCTGCCTGGAATCACCCGGGGCCGGTCTCTTTGCCCGTGCAGGTGCATGCCGGCGTGTGACGTGGAGGACGGGCTGTCCTTCCCGCTGACCGCCAGTCCTGACTGGTGGCTGGGTGAGTAGGGGACGCTGGGCCGGGCCCCCTGCTCCCCTCCCTCATCGGGGTGGGCGCTGGGGCTCCCGCTACCCTGACGTGGGTCTGGGGTTGCGGGAAGATGGGGCCGGGCCCCCCTTGCCCCGTGACACCAGGTCCCAGTGTCTGTCTCTGAGCTCCCATTTCTCCCTGCTGGTGGTGTCACCGGGAGGGAGTGTCTGCGGTCATGAGTGTGGGGGTGGCTCGAGGCCTGGCCCTCGGTGCCTCTGTGTGGGCTAGCGCCTGGGCGTGCGCTGAGTGGAGTGTCTGTAGGGCTCGGTGTGGGGGAGCACCTCCTGGTTCTGGCCCAACGGGGCCTCCTGGGTCCTGCGCAGGGCCGGCAGGTGTGAGCCCCACCCCAGTCCTGGCACCTTGGGGCCCCATGTCACCTATGAGCAAAGCGCTGCTGAGTGGGGCGGGCACAGATGGGCAGAGATGGGTGTCTTCTGCACACCGACCCACCTTCTGGCCCCCAGGGACCTGCCTGCCCTGCTCATGTGTGGTGTCTGCTTCCAGGGTCCCTGGAGGGCAGAGCCAACGGTGCCCTCGCTCAGGCCCCGGCCAGGAGCAGCCCGCTGGACAGGACGGAGCCGGGCTTCCTGGCGGACCCCGAGCCCGGCTCCCAGGAGCTCCCGGACGGCGCCCTGGAGGCGTGGGGCTGGGACATGGGCTGCGCCAGCCTGGCCCTTCGGGATGAAGGGGATGGCATCTTCCCCGACTTCTTGGCCTACTAGGCAGCCAGGGCCGGGCCTCGGGAGCGGCGTGTGCACGCGGGGGAGGGGGGCAGGGGGCGTTTCACCGCGGGCTCGGCTGCATCTGTGCTGCGGTGCGCGGGGCTGAGCACTAAAGGGAAGAACTGCGTTCCCAGAGGAAGCGCTCTCCGCTGGTGTAATTAACGCGATTCACTGTGTGGGCGGCTTCACTTCCTCTCCGAGCTGGGGCTTTTGTTCCTCCGCCGACGACGCGGCCTCGTGGCTCCCGGAATAACCTGGCCCTGGGGCTCGGGGCGGGGGGGCCCACGACCGAGTGTTCTGTGTGCCCGCCTGTTCTCCGGAGAGGTGGGCACGGGAACCCTTCCTCCTGCCTGTGAGGCCGGTCTGGAGTCCCAGAGGGCCCATCAGGGTGGCCCTGGTTCCCTCTGTCCAGGCCTGGGCGGCCCAAGGGAAGGGCCTTCCCACCCCAGGGGGTGCTGGGGCGCCTGGGGAAGAGGCCACCTCGCTTCAGTGTTGAACCCGCACTCCCCTGTGGGCACGCACGGCTTCGGTCCCAGCTGCGCCTGACCCCCGGGATCGGGGCGGGGGGATGGGTTACCTCGAGGGTAGCCCAAGCCTGTGTCTGGCCAGACCCACTCTGCTCCATGTCCCACCGCCTTCCGGCCACCGTGAGGCCGGTCTCCAGCACAGGCCAGCCAGGGGCTCTCCTACGCTTCTCGCATGCACAGACTCTGGGTCCTGGCTTCCTGGGGGCCCCAGGCCAGCCAGGGCTCCGGGCCAGAGGATGACCTCAGAGCCCCTTGCGCGAGCAGCCCGCCCCCTGCCCACGTGCCCTCCCCTTCCAGAGCAGAGAGTCCCACTCGTTCCCTCCGTGACTCAGACGGAGGTGAGTGGGGACCGGTGTAGGAGGCACTGCCACAGAGAGGCTGGCGTCACAGACCCCACTCTGGGGCAGCTGGAGAGGCCTGGGGAGGGGTCCAGGTGGGCACCAGGGGTGGCTGTCACCCCTAGACCCCCATCTGCAGGACCCCACACCCCCGTGGGCTTCCTGAAGACCCTTGGGCAGAGCCGAGGCCCGTGGGCAGCGGCCCTGACCCTGGAAGGGCTTCCTCGGGCCTGGCAGCCCGTGTTCCAGAGACCACCCGACCCCGGACAGGCCCGGCTCCGTGGTCAGTCCGCCCTGTGCTGTCCACTCCCACAGCCTCCTTTGAAGGATGTGGCCTGAAAGACCATGTGTGCGCACGAACATGTGTGTGTGCCTAACATGCACTCCTGTGGGCTCATACATGTGTGAGCCATGTATAGCCCAGTGCCTCCCCCGGTGGGTGGGACACCGCCGGCCCCCCCACTCAGGCCCGGAGCTGTGATCCGGGCGGGAGGTGGCTGAGTGCGCAGTGTGGGTGGCCCCGCTGGCCGGTGCTGCAGTGGGCAGAGGCTGCCCCCGGCCCAGTGCTGTGAGTTCGGTTCCGTGGGCTGGGAGGGGCCCCGGGCCGTTAGGACGCTGTCGGCCACGCCCATGTGGGGTCGGGTGCAGGGCCCTGACGTCGAAGGCCCTGGGTCTCTGGCCAAGTGCCCCCGGCAGAGCCCTGCCCTGCGCCCCTGTGTGCTGACCTCTCCCAGCACCCCACAAAGAAGGTCAGGAAGCTGGGACTTCAGCTTGCTCAGGGCCCTGACCCAGTCCCCAAAGGGACAGAGAGATGGGACACCCCCCACCCATGGGCGGTGAGGAACAAGCCCCGCCTTGGGTGGCAGGTAGAACTCACCTGTGCTGCCTCTGCCCACTGGGGGAGGGGGCACCAAGGCGGTGTTAGAAGGACCCTGAGTGGCACCGTCTGCCCCCTGGAACTGCAGGGCACACCTGGGTGCGGGGCCGGGCATCCTGTTGGGGACGGTGACAGCGGAGGGGGGACAGGAGTGGTGGCCACTCCTCTTGAGCTGGAGCCTTCAGGTGAGCCGGGGGAGCAAGGGCCGGTGGGGGGCTCGGCTGTGCTGGGCTGGAGCCGAAAGGAGCTGCGGGGGCGCTGGGAACAGCTTTCTTCCCGCCCCCTCCTCTCCCGGGGCCCTTTGTGAACCAAATTACAGCTCTTGGCTGCAAATGCGAGTTCAGCGCTCAGGGGCGGGTTGAGAAAGCCGGATGCTGGCGGTTGGTGGCCTATTCTGGGAGTCGGGTTGGAGAGAGGGCTTCGGCACCACCACCCCCAGCTTCTGGGTGACCTGCCACCTGCCCCCTGCCCCACGCCCCACCAGGAAGGCCCGGCTGCCAGGAAGCAGGACATGGGGACGCAGGTGCAGGAGGACCCTAGGCACCGTCAGGCCACACCCTCCCCGGGTTCACCCTGTCCCACCGGGACATCCTGGTGGGACAGTGCCTTTGGCTGGGCCTTGGTGACAGCCGGCCCCCCACGTCCACGCGCCCTCCCCACCGCCCACCTTGCTCTGAGCATGTGGCCGCCGTGAGGACTTGTGTGTTGCTGGAGGCGTTTGGAGCTGCTCGGCGTCCTTGACCCCCCTCTGGCCAGGGACACTCCGTCCTGAAGCTGAGATGCTGGACCAGTGCAGGGGGGCGGGGACGGTGGCGGGAGGGAGCAGTCGTGGGGCATGTGGGGCTGAGTGTGCCTGGGCATGTGTGTGCACCTGTGCGTGTGAGTGTGTGAGAGTGCGTGTGCGTGCGTGTGTGTGTGTGTGAGTGGGGGGGATGGAGTCACCTGAGACCCCAGGCAGGCAGGCAGGCAGGCGTCCCGTGCCCCAGTGAACAGAGTGTCAGGTTCCTGCCAACAGCCCCCCCAACACCTGCTGGCACCCTGTGCCCCGGAGGTCACTGCGCAGCGGCCTCGGCCGCCCCCCAAAGTGCCCGGATGGCAGTGCTGCAGGTGTCGGCCGGGTGCTCGAGAGGTTGTCCCGCTGAGCCAGAGGCGAGGCTTGTGTGTGGACAGTGGCCCCCGGATGCAGGACCTCACGGGCCAGCGCCAGCCGCCCGACCCCGCCCGCAGGCGTGGGTCCCTGCCCGCAGTCCCCACCCGCACGCTCCCTGACGACGCTCGTGGGGCAGTTCCACCTGCGGAGGGCTGATCGGGGCCCCTGAGATGGTGTGTCCCCGCCCTCCCCCCCAGCACCTGGGCGGGCTACCTTGTCTGGAAGCGGGTTTGCAGGTGTGGTTAAGTTATGGGGGACGGTGACAAGGGTGACGAGACCCCTGGAATCGGCTGTCCAGAGGCAGAGCTCTGGTGGGGACCCTCCATGGGACGGGGTGGGGCTCAGCCTCTCTGGACCCCGGCACCTGTGTCCCAACTCTGAGCAGCAGCCCCACCCCCGCTGGCAGCACCCCGGCCTCGGCGTCCCCCCTTGTCCTCACGCCCGGGAAGGAGGCTGGGAGGTGGGGCGGGGACAGGCCTGTGTGCCAGGCATACTTTCTGTGGGGGCAGAGTGACAGGCCCTGAGGGCGCCCCTGGGCGACGGGTACTGACAGCCCCGCGTACCCCTCACCCCTGGGTGTTCATGTTGCTGGAGGCCATGGGATCGGGAGCCCGCGGCCCTGGATCCTCGGGGCAGAGGTGGGCGTGCTGGAGCAGGCCAGGGCGCAGCCGTGATCGGGGCACCGTCCTGTCCCTGCTGCCCGCGCCCCAGCCACCCTCTCCTCCCACTCCTAACACCCAGGGCTGACTACCGAAGTGTCATTGAAGTTGGTGTCCTGGGAACCGATGGGCAGGGCTGGGGGCCACGACACAGCAGGTTTGCGGTTCCCCGCAAAATTGTGGTGAGGCGGGAGCGGCTGAGGGTGATGGATGGCACCTCAGACAAGTGTCCAGAGCCTGTGGTGGTAGCCCCTTGTCCCTTGCCAGGAGCGGGTTCCTGGCCACACGATGGGATGTCATAGGTCCCCTCCGCTGGACGACCATCGCCCTCTATTTGCTGAGGTTCTGCCAACAGTGGCAGCCTGCAGTCTCCCATAGCAACGGTCCGGGCCGCCCAGGCTTCCTTGCAGGAGCGGAGTCCCGTGCTGACGTGCCCGACACCTACGGCCACTCGTGCATCTGCACGGTCTGGCCGTGGTGTCCAGGAACTCGACGGGCAGCAGCAGAAGGCGGCAGGGGAGGCAGTGGCAGTGAGCCGGGTGTGCCCCCTCTGCCCTGCTGGCGACGGGAAGGTGGTTGAGGGCCGAGTTCCTCGTGCCACACGGGGACCCACAGGCTGGGTGGGGGGTGTCCTCAGGCCCTGACCTGGGACGTGGCGGTGAGCCGTCTTCCTGCCGGCGAGATCCCCCGCAGGTGGCCCCGTGGGGTCCCCACCTCCGCTCCCACATCCAGCCTCCACCACCCCTCCCTGCGCCCTGACCTCGGGGCTCGTCTCTGTCTCCCCTGTCACTCACACCCTTGCCTACCGCCTGTCCTCATCACAGAGGCCGTGCCCGAGAAGGACAGTCACAGGACAGACAGACTCCCATGATGGAAGGAGTCCAGCAGGGGAGGGGAGAAGGAGACACCACAACCGGGTGGGTTTAGTCCAGAAATGCAAGGCTGGCTCTGCCTCTGGGGACGGATCAAAGTGCTTTATCGCAATAAACTCGGAGGGAAAACCCCATGGTCGTCACCATGGCTGCAGACAAGGTCTCCGCTAAAATTCAACACCTGTCCACGAGGGAAACGCACGCCATTGCAGAAGTAAAAGGGCGCGCTCTCCATCCGACTCGGGGCCACAGGGCGCCCGGAGCAACGGTCAGGTCACTTCGTGGTGAAGGGTCGCAGCTGCCTTTCCCGGGGCCAGACCGAGGTGCCCGCTGTCCCCTCTGCCATCCAGGGTGCCCCTGGTCCCTCCAGGAAGGGACACACGGGAGGTGAGAGGCAGGAGATTCCCCGGGCGGTGTGAGCCTGCGCTGTTCGCGGACGAGGGGTTGTGCGTGGAGAAGACCCAGAGTCACCCGCAGACGCGTCTCCGGATCGCTGAGTTCACCGGATCTGTGCGCGCACACACAGTTTCTATATATGTGTGCGCGATGCGTGATTAGGGAATGAGTTCCTGGGGATGTCACGTGCAATTCAGTGAAAATAGTTTGAGTGACCAGGAATAAATCCAGCAGAGCCGTGAGCCTCTGCGGCGGCAGCTGTCAGCTGGCGTTCAGGAAGCGCCTCATTTTTCCCATTGCACATGCG